AAAATTATGAATTTTTATGCTAATTAGAGAATTAATATGAACAAATTTTAACCCAAAATTAATCAGGCCTGTCTATTGTCCTAGAGCATTTATGTACCAAATTTTATTCAAATGTGATGATCAGTAATTGAGATATCAGTGTTAATTAATTATGTCAATTAGGTGATTAATAAGCATAAATATTTACCAAAAACTAATTGGGTTTCTGCATAGTTCTCTTTAAAAGTTTCATTAAAATCCAATTTGTGGTTCTTTATATATCAGTGGAACATTATGCAAATTAGGTAATTATTATCCAATTAAAACTAATCAGTTCTCTGCATAATCCTAGAAGATCTATGTAGCAAGTCTCATTGAAATATGATGATTACTACTTGATGTATCAAAAACTGAAAATTAATTAACTATGCAAATTAAGTAATTAATATGTACTCATATTACCCTAAAAACTATCAGGTCTGTGCAGTGTCCTATGACATCTATGTACCAAGTGTCATTGAAATGTGATGATTATTACTTGAAATATCAAAAGCTGAAAATTAATTAATTATGCAAATTAGCTAATTAATATATACTGATATTACCCTAAAAACTATCAGGTATGTGCAGTGTCCTATGACATCTATGTACGAAGTGTCATTGAAATGTGATGATTACTACTTGAAATATCAAAAGCTAAAAATTAATTAATTATGCAAATTAGCTAATTAATATATACTGATATTAGCCTAAAAACTATCAGGTCTGTGCAGTGTCCTATGACGTCTATGTATAAAATTTCATTGAAATGTGACAATTACTACTTGAAATATCAAAAGCTGAAAGTTAATTAATTATGCTAATTAGGTAATTAATATGGACTCATATTACCCTAAAAACTATCAGGTCTGTGCAGTGTCCTATGACATCTATGTACCAAGTTTTATTGAAATGTGATGATTAGTACTTGAGAAATCAGTGGAAAAGCCGAAAATTGATTGATCATTATGCAAATTAGGTAATTAATATTGCACAGATTTTTACCCAAAACTAATCAAATCTGCGCATTAGTTTGGAGCATCTGTGTGCCAAGTTTCATCAAAATCCAATGAGTGGTTCTCTAGATATCAGTGGAACAGTCATGGAAAAGCTACAAATCAGCTAATTATCATGCAAATTAGGTAATTAATATGCATGGATTTTTACCAAAACCTAATTAAATCTGCGCATTGGCTCAAAGCATCTATGCACCACGTTTCATCAAAAACTGATGTATGGTTCTTGAGATATCAGTGGAACAAATGGACACACATACACACACACACATACATACGGACACACTAACTGCAAAGACTCCCTTTTTGTGCTTCGCATTTTATTCTTGGCAAAGGTTATCCATTTCACAACCATTTTATTTCCCAATATTTATAATACACAAGCAAATAATTACTCTCTCTTGTTTTTTATAATTAAGCATATAGCACAGTGTAGCTTAGTATAGCCTAGCATAGCACAGAAAAGCAAAGCTGAGTATAGCACAATATGATGTTGCCATGCCAATCTATTAATCCCCATCTTTCGTTTAGTTTTGAACACAGATAAAAGAAGCAATACAGGAGTGGGTGGCTAACTGCATAGACCTCTAATAGCGGATTTGGGTTTTTTCAAATTTTTAGTTCAGAATACCATAACTTTAGTATAGCGTATTGTAACGTAGTGTAGTGTAGTGTGGTTTAGTGTAGCAAGGTATGGTGTAACAGTATACATGTAGTATAGCACTGTTTAGCAATGTTATGTTGTGTATTGTAGAACTGCATAGTCAAGTGTAAGACTTTGTATTTGATTGTTGTTTTATATATATATTATTAATCTATATATAGATTAAAATGTAGTGTTGTCAAAATACAAGAGAATATCTGAATAAATTTACTGTTAAAACAACAATCAAATTATGTTAATTGCAAAGTCCCAAGACCTATCACACAGAGCAGCGCCCTCTTGAACAGTTCCAGAGATATGATGCACTGGCGCCCTCAGAGTTCATTTTGGTATAATCTGGGGTGGACTTACCTCTCTGCTGTTGTCACGAATGTATAATCAGGATTTATTAATAGATCTTCAACTTTATTTTCAACTTGAGCAGCAGATAACGGGTCTTCTTCGGCCAGTGACGACTCAGCTTCACCAGTGACATCAGTTCCACCTAAAATTATCAATCTCTCAATGAGTGTGTAGATCTTCAACTTTATTTTATTGTTACTCAGAACATTTATGTTTAAATTGTTAGACAACTACAAACCATCATTGTAATAAAACTAAATACTGTAAAATACTTTATTTTAGCTGGAATTTATTTTCACTGATTTCTGATGAGTTAATTGTAAAACATAGGAAAAAAGGTATATTTGCTGGAATTTATTTACACTGAATCATTCCCTCTGCGAAAATGACAAAAATTCATTCCAAGCAAAAATAAAGTTTTTACTGTACTTAATAGCAGTCCAAAATTTAGAATGAAGTCATTCTGTGTTGTCAGAAAACTGTGAGGTCATTACTATGTTGTCAGAAAACTGTGAGGTCATTACTATGTTGTCAGAAAACTGTGAGGTCATTACTATGTTGTCAGAAAACTGTGAGGTCATTACTATGTTGTCAGAAAACTGTGAGGTCATTACTATGTTGTCAGAAAACTGTGAGGTCATTACTATGTTGTCAGAAAACTGTGAGGTCATTACTATGTTATCAGAAAACTGTGAGGTCATTACTATGTTGTCAGAAAACTATGTCATCATTCTTGGCTACCAGAAAAAGGTGATGTCATTGTTTTTTGTTGACATGAAATATGTCATCATTCTTTGATATCAGAAAAGTGTGATGTCATCATTCTATGATGTCATGAAACTGTGATGCAATCAGTCCTTGATATCAGAAAAATGTGATTTCATCAATCATTGTCATGAAATAAACGTCATCTTTCTTTGATATCAGAAAAGTGTGATGTCATCATTCTATGATGTCATGAAACTGTGATGCAATCAGTCTTTGATATCAGAAAAATGTGATGTCATCATTCTATGATGTCATGAAACTGTGACGCAATCAGTCTTTGATATTAGAAAACATTGATTCTTTTTCAAGAAGCAGAATACACTATCAGAGTATACCATAACACAATTCTTCACAAAATGCAGTGGTTCACTACTAAAATAAACATAGTTGAACTCTGGTGACCTTGCCCTTTGTTATATAATATAATTCCCTTTATCATAGTTTGTTTCAATATAAATATGCATTGTCATAATTAATTTTGAATACAAACAAGTTTTGGGGTTGAACCAACAGTGGGGAATCAGTCTACTGAATGTCCTTAAAAGATGTAAATATCTTACAAAAACATTGGTGCCTTATTTGTTTAATTATTTTAAGGGACATAATTTCCAGCTTTCTTCAAAGTAATTCAGATATTTTAGTATAAAAACAAATGTTTCATTGAAAAAAAAAGTG